TTTAGAAAAGATCCATCTGATATTAGCAATGCTTTATTCATTCCACATCCTCTTCTGAATCCAGTTTGGCTTTCTAGCAGTTCCCTGACTGTATACTGCCACAGCCATAATTGAATTACTTTCAGCAAAACTTTACATGTGACATTAATGGTATTGTTCAATAATCTCCACATTCTGTGGGATCATCTTTCTTTGGAGGGAGCACAAATATGGATCCCATCCAGCTGCTTGGCCAGGTAGTTATCTTCCAAATTTCTTAGCATAGACGAGTGAGCGCTTCCAGTGTATCATCTATGTGTTACGACATCTCAATTTGTGTTCCATCAGTTCCTGGAGCCTTCATGCTCACCAATATCTTATGGTGAGAATTAGGCAACATGAAAACTAATTTCATTCCATGAGAACAGCCACACAATCAAGAAGCCCCTCGGTAAAAGGAAATTAACAATTATCAGAGACATCTCAGAAACTTAATTGTATTTGCAAGAGCCTGCCCTTATTCATCTGCTCATAAGAAGCAAAACATTATCAGTAAGTAATAAAACACAGTAGCAGAGAGTCCGAAGAAAGTGGGATCATATGCACATCAAGTAATATCCATAGGGTGGTTTCAAAGAAGAATGGTCTTACAAAGAAGCGACAGAGTGACACAATAAGCCAAATGCATGTGGGGCTCCTGGAGGCCTTTGTAATACTCACAAGCATACAATAGCAAATTCTGATGTATAGATAGATAAGGGGGAAAGAACAATGGGAACAATACAGAAGTGGTCCACTCACCATAACTAAGATAACTCATTCATTCCACAAATATTTACCGAGTGCCTATTAAGTACCAGGTTCTGTTCTCTAGTCTGAGGATAATACAGTGAACACAGTAAGAAAAATCCTTGCTCATCTGGAACTTCCACTATAGGGATGTGTACATGGGTGACTGAAGGGTATGCTATGGAAAAGTCACAAAAGACTAATTAAAATGAGGGAAATAGACATTTTTAATACATTTTGTTAATGACAAGTAGTAAAACGGAATACTTAAGCACAGTATATTTTCAGAATGGTAAATTATGTTGGCTAACATCAATTAATATCACTTACTTTCCTCAAGTATGCCGTGGTATTAGAGAATATACATTAGCCAAAAAATCTTTGATGATGACAAGTGCTACACTATGAACTGGGATGGAATTGTAATGTGCAAGCACATTAGTACATTGAAAATGTACCACATTTTCAACCAGACGAAAAATTTAAAACACAGGTCAATGTACTGATTAGCTCTCTAACTTCTAAGGACTCCTGGCGGTGCAGTGATTAAGCATGCAGCTGCTCACCACAAGGTCTGCAGTTTGAACTCACCAGGCCACTACATGGGAGAAAGATGCAGTTAGGATGACACCTTAGAAACACTTTGGAGA